GGAAAGAGATAAAAAAAATAAGAGAAAATTTGATACAATAATATATTTTTGTTATGAAAATTAAGAAAATGCAAAACTAAGAAGTAAAACTTTAGAGGGAGAGTGTGTCATTAATCTTGTAAAGATATATAAAATGAAGAGACTTAAAACTCTATTTATAAAAAAAATTTCGGCACGGTTTCTATTATAATATTAAGAAAATAAGTAATGAATATATGTTGTAATTATTATTTTTGAATTTTATTTTTAATTTTATATTTAGAAATAAAGTAGGGGTATAATAGTAATTTAATATAAATATTATGAGTGAGAGTCACAATTTCATGGGGGTATAGAATTGCCAATCTTTAATCCTAAATTTGAGTGAGGTCTTCTAATTTTACTCTCATTTTAGGATAAAATAAATAAACAAACATAAGATTAACTCTCATTTCTCAATCTTAATAAGTAAACATCCATCAGTTTCTCCCGTTTGTTTTCGTTTGCTTTTCATTGCTGCCGTACCGTTGTTGTTGTTCGACTTTTGTTGTCGTTTGTTGTTTTCTTGCCGCTTTCATTATTTTATTGTCGTTTTATTAATTGTTGGCCTATAGATCACTACCAAATCATTGGCTAGAATAATCTTGCAAACAAAAATTTTGGCTCCAAACGCAGCAAAAACGTCTAGAACAGTTGAATTTTGGCTCTTCAGAGTTTCTTTTTTCTTTTTCAAAATATCAAAATAAAGTAGAAATAAAACCAATTTGACTGAGTTTGAGCATTGAATTTTGGTTCACAACAATTTAAAAAATTCCATTTCTCAACAAAAATTACAAAGAAAATGTGATGGTCTTCGCCCAAAAGCCAATTGTATGAGTATTGAGTACCACAAACTTTTAAATAATGTCAAAAGGTCCAGATAAAGCCAAAAGAGACATGTTTTGAACTTCAACTATATTAAATTAAATTAAATTTATTTTCAACTATGTTTTGATGCAAGAATTAAATTCATTAATAAAAAATATTAATAGAAGTTAATTAGTAGATAGATTAAAAAACTATTATTAAATTTAATTATTGCATCAAATATCATATAAAATTTAATTTAATTCTAAAAAATGAACTTCAAATTTATAATTGTACACGTAGGCCCACTACTCCATTTATCCACTTACACACAATTATTCCATCTCTTGTCTTGCATGTTCATTGAGTTTACTTTTCAAAAAAGACAAGCAAATATCCCCTGTTCCTCACATACAATGTATTTCCCACGTTTACATCCATCCACCATTGAATTTCTCATCACAACCTTGACCAACAAATCGATCGGCTCAAAAAAGTCTCATTATTTTTCCTCTATTTTCCCCACGTAACAGCAGACCAAACACCAGGTCTATCGATATACTATATTATATCCGTGTGTCTTCATAGGTCTGTGTGCGGGTAATTGTCAACTCTAAAGGCACTGGTTTTAGAGAGAGAAAAAGAGGAGAGAGAGAGAGAGAGAATGGAAGGAGAGAGAAGAATTGGGGTGGCGGTGGATTTCTCGGCGTGCAGCAGAAAAGCGCTGAAATGGACGGTGGATAACGTTGTCCGGGATGGGGATCACCTTATCCTGATTAACGTACAACCCGAAGGATACTATGAGGGAGAGATGCAGCTCTGGGAGGCCACTGGTTCTCGTACGTTTAATAATTACTCTCTCTCTCTCTCTCTCATCAATGATCTCTTTAGATAATTGATCTTGATCATTATTTTTCCAGGAAAATAAAAGGGATGATTTTTCTTTGGTGGAAATATGTCTAAGAAATTGAAATCTGTTTTCAGATCACCAAATAATGGCTACTGAATTGTTAGAAAGTGAAAGTATGAAATTAAAATAATTCCGAAAAGGAAAGATTGTGCCTTTTTTTTTCCTTTGGAATATTCTGCTATTAATATTAACTTTAATTTGTGTTCTTATCTCAAGGTTTTTCTATTGAAGTTCAAGCTTTCTTTTTTTATGTTATTGTTTTTATGAAGGGTATATGAAATTTGAACCATTAATTAATTTGCAGCTTTAATCCCTCTAAGTGAATTGTGTGATCCCCACACTCAGAAGAAGTATGGGGTGAACCCCGACCCTGAGACTCTTGACATTGCCAGTACCATAGCAAGGCAGAAAGAGGTAATTAAATTCTCTATTAAAATTTGATTAAGCTTGTTTGGCATAATGTTGATTAATTAGGGTTGAAAACCATGTTTAGATGATGATATTTGGGATTTAAGCAGGTTGTGGTGTTGATGAAGATCTATTGGGGTGATCCCCGTGAGAAGATATGTGAAGCAATTGATAAGATCCCTCTTAGCAGCCTTGTTATTGGTAACAGAGGCCTTGGCAAAATTAAGAGGTAACTAAAACTTTATTTGAAAAATCCCTTTTTGAGTTCACAATGGAAAATCTGACTCAGTGGGGATAAATTTTTAGTACATTTGGATTTTTTCCCCCTTTTTCACTCCTATATAAGTCGCATTTGGTGACTAGAATGTGCTTTTTAAGTAGTCCACTTTTTGATGTTTTTGTGATGCGAATCATGTGATACATTTTAGACTTTCCTCTGCTGTACATAAATTTTCCTAAATTTTCATCTTTTGAGGAAGGCTTTTTTGAAATTCTGGCCCTAGTTTGCCTTAAACAAATGTGTGACTTATGAACATAGTGACCTTAAATGGAACGTGGATAAAAGTTCCTAAATTATGAAGGTTAGAACTTAAAAGTGTCTTTTGAACATCTGATTTTGATTAGATCTGTTAGTATGACATTAGGGATGGGTTTTATATGGTTAGATTGTTGTATTTCGATTAAACACAAGGGAGATTTTGTCATTATTTGTTTGACTTTAGTTGGTTGCTGATAGAAACCTGATCTAAACAAGAGGAATTTGAATAAAATGGAACTATTATTGATCAAAAACAATGATAGAACAATTAGGAAATCTAATTGAGATAGTGTTTGAGAGACTATCTAACTCTCCCATCCTGGCTTCCCAAACCCTGAAATGAAATCCCAAAACACTCAGACAATCCAGAATTCAGACATTTCCCCCCTTCACATCCCCTCCTATCCTCTCGTTTATACTAATATTTGCCTAACAAACTCTTTGGCTAATAACAGAATTCGAACAAATTGCGTTTTTGCTAGCTAACCAACTACAGGCCTTAACAGTCACAAGTACTACTTTTGGGATTTGATTGAATTTTGGTTTGGTGTCGTTTCTTTTGCAGGGTGATCTTGGGAAGTGTTAGTAACCACGTGGTAAACAATGGCCTCTGCCCTGTAACTGTGGTCAAGCATGTGCCTGCAGATCACCATGAAAGCTAAATCCTTAATTTGTTCATAATATTTAGTGAACAATGCTTTGTGAATAAGTGCAAAGTTCATCCCTTTAATGGGTTTCTTTTGCCCGTCGGACTTCTATTATCTTTATGTAATTTAGTGTGGAGTTTTAAGATATCAACACTTGTAAGTGTGTCGAGAAATTTATCTAATTCCAAACTATATTGGACTATGTGTATGCTAGTTTATGTTGCTGTGTACGTAGAAATAAATTGCCTTCTTGTAGGTTTTAAATGTATTGCTTGTTTATTTTTTTATTTCTTTTTTGTGTTTTTTTTTTCTTTCCTTGGAAAAGCTATGGGGATAGAGGGTAGTGTATTAGATAAACCCCGAGTGGCAGCATATCTCCGTGTGGCAGATAGATGTATAGATTTTGGGCTAATTTAGTAGTCCTGTAGATTTTAAAAAAGTTCTTGTTAGTTGTGCTGAAAAAAAAATCACAGTTACAAGTAAATTATAATTATACAAATATTGCTGGTTTCAAAAACAGTGTAATAACGATTGATAAATTGTGAGATTGAATAGTTGTAGGTAGTTAAGAAGATTAAAATAGACATGATATGAAATTTAAATATGTATAATTTTGATGTTATTAAAAAATACTTGTTTAACTTTAAAAAGAGAGAGAGAGAGAGAGAGAACATAGAGAGAAATAAAGAGAGAGAGAGCTTGAAGAGAAAGAGAGAGAGGTGATGAGTCTGATAAGAGCGTTTAATGGTATTGTGATAATTAAACAAGGGTAATTTGTGTTTTAAAAAAATTCATTAAAAGGATCCTACAGCTTTCCGCATAAGCCATAAGCAGAAGCAGCCTTCGATCGATTTTTAGCTTCTGTTGTGGGAACCTTCAAACTTCTTGCACAATTACTTTTGAGGTTTTTTACCAAACGCAATTTAACTAAAAACTTAATAGAGAAGTAATACTGGCTGTTGAAAAAGCATTACCAAACCGGCCTTTTGTGCGACAGATGTATAGGTCTCTCACGAAGTGGATTGTCTTTGGCCCCGTTTATTTCGCCGATTCGAGTTTAAATTTGAGTTTTGCTACAGTAAAAACTCTTAAAAACAGTCACATCTAACTTTTTTGCTACAGTAAAAAGCTCTCACACAAAATCACATCTCAACTCGAATTAGAAACTCGAATCAACGATGTCATCTAGATAAACGTGTTGAAGAGATACAGGCCTCGTTCACTTCATGGATTCAAGTTTTTAATTCGAGTTGAGATGTGATATTTTCTGAGAACTTTTTACTGTAGTAGAAAAAGTTAGATGTGATATTTTCTGAGAATTTTTTATTGTAAAAACTTAAAACTGAAAACTCAAATCGGTAAAATAAACGAAACCTTTGAAACTTGTTGAGGATTTACCGAATGACGGGTAATAATGGATTGCTTGCTTAGAAATTTTTGAATGCATGGTATTATCTGTTAAAGGATGTACTTAATAAAAGTTGCTCCATGGTCGTCACTTTGTTGAGTTCTGAGGTGGTTGCTTTACTTGGATCCTGATAGTTCTTCATGAGCTTTCAATTTTATTTTAATTTTTTGGTTTTGGTAATTGGCATTCCCGTTATTGTTAATATTTAATGACGGTTCAAACAGGAGAATTGTGTGATGTACCTTGTAATTAATAACATCAATTCATCAAATTATGGTTTTCAAACTTCACATAAGCTGGAATAGCAACCACTAATAGTCGATCAATGTATCTTCTACGTGTACTCTGTTTATATATATATATATATATATAATTTTATTTTTTTTTTTCATTTTTCAACTTTGAAAATGCATAATAAGATAACATCCATGACCATTCCCATTTTAGTGGTTTTCTGTTTGTTGGAATTGGATAACATTAAAGTTGTAAAGTTGAATTAGAATCATACACACAAATAAAATCCTATGGTTCCATAAACGTGTATTAGGACTGTTATTAATAGATCAAATTAGAACATAAATTTAAGGAAACTTAATGAAAATCTCACGATAAAAGAGCTACACAATACAGTCAATGTGTTGAAATCTCCAATTCTTAAATTATCTTTTTTTAGGCAAGAAGGGGATAAGAAAATGCCCATTATAGTAAAAAAAAAAAAAAAACCCCGAAAAACAGTGCAATACCAAGAAAACATAACAATAGTCAGTATTTGTAAATCGCCCTAGTTTTTCTCATCTCCATTTTCTTCATTTGTCTTCTTCTCTTTAACTCTCTTCCACAATCCCCACCCAAAAAAAAAAAAACATAAAAGCCATGGAGCTCATAAACCCTTTATTTCTTTTTTCCTTCATTCTCTTCATGACACCAACATCACACTCCATTTGCGTGGCTCGCCTCCACAACTCCACCACCGCTTCTCCGCCCCCGCCGCCGCGAAAAACAACCCCAACCGTCTCATCAGCACCATCAACATCCTCGGAAACGACGTCGTTTCACGCCACGCCGGGAAACCCACAAGTCGACGTCCACGGCGACGGCCTCTTCTCCCGATCAACCATCCCGGTCAACCCGAGGCTGAAGCGCCTCTGCTTCCAGACCGACTACCCTTCCCTCTGCCTCTCCTCCCTCTCCCCCTTCCTCGCCGGCAAGTCCTTCTCAATCACCTCGGCCCTGGCCGCCGCCATAAAGGCGGCGTCCCAGCACGCTAAGCAAGCAGCCGCAACCGCCGCAAAGCTCGCAGCGTCCCGCGAGGCGAACGAGGATGACAAAGAGGCGATCGGGACGTGTAAGGACAGCTACGAGGACGCGCTAGACAACCTGCAGCAGGCGGCGGAGGCGGTGCCGTCGCAGGATATAGGGACGGTGAACAGCATGCTCAGCGCCGTCGTCACGGACTCCGAGAATTGCGGAGACGCGACGGAAGGGACGGAGGCTGGCACGAAGTTGTCAAAGTATGATGATAAGCTTAGGAAGTTGGCCAGCAATGGCCTTGCCATTGCCTCGCTCATAAACTGATGATTATATAATATTTGAATGATAATGAGATCATAATCAACTGATCATGTGTTTGAATATATACATACATATATATATATAGTGCTTTTGTTAGATTGTGTTCGGATTTGGTGGTAGGAATAATAAAAAAGAAAATTGTTATGAAAGGATTCTTTAATTTGTAGTAGTGTTTATTCGTTTTATTGTTGTGTATACATGGATTCGTCTTTTCCTGTCGTTTTAGTGCAAAGAAAGTCCTATACTGCTCACTGTCTAAACAGAGTATAATAACTTCTATATTTACAAACAAACAAAAAAAAAACCATTGAGTTGATACCTGTACTTTTTATAATATTAAAATAATGTTTTAAGAAATATTTTTTTGTACTTTGGAGCTAATTTTTGAAAGATAAAATGACACTTTTACCTTACTCATTAATTAAATGGAAACCAATAACTTATAAAAAAAGTCTGAAAATATTTTAAATAATTAAAACTAAAAAAATAAAATACAAAAGTCGTGTTTGGAATTGATCTGTTTTTATTTTTCACATTTTTAAAAAAAAAAATGAAAATATTTTTAAAATAACGTTTAACGCAATAAAAATAAAAAACAGAAATAAAAATAATTTTTTTAATTTAGTGTAAAATGAGAGATAAATAAAAAATAATTTTTAATTGTTTTTTATTTTTTATTTTCGTTTTCTCCTCTCTCAAGCAGAGAGAGACATTAATGAGTTTTTATATTAAAAATAATTTTTTGATAAAATTAGTAAACATATTTTTAAAAATAATTTTTGTCTGAGATTAAAAATGTTTTTATTTTTATTTTTATATAAAAAATAAAATTATTTTAAAACGAGTTCTAAACGCGCTAAAAAAGTTTCTTAGAAATTAGGAGTGTACAAAAAAATCATAAAACCGAAACTGACTGAAACCGACCGCTCAAAACCGAAAACGACGATGCCACATGGAACCGAACACAGTCGGTTTGGTTAACCGACCGACTTCCTCAAAAGTCGGTTCGGTTTTGATTTTGCGTGTAGAGAGTCGGTTAAAAACCGAACCGACCGAGATGGAATTTTTTTTTTTTTTTATGTTTTCGTTTTGTTTTACGTATGACAATTTAAATATTTTTTAAACTTATGTTTGTGCAATTATCAATTTTGATATTGTACTTTGTATTCATTTATTGTGATTACGTGTTTGCAACTTTACATTGAAAGAAAGTTTTACATTTTTTCGTAGTTACGGGTAAAAAATGCAATTAAAGATACTGGTAACTTGATGATTAACTGAGGTCATCTTCCTGATTATCAAAACCGAATTGAAACTGAAATTCGGTTAACCGAACCGAAAATTGTTAGATGCGGTTCGATTTCGATTCTAATTTTTAGAAAATTAAAATGGTCGGTTCAGCTATCGAACCGATCAAAATCGACGGAAACCGAACCGATGAACACCCCTAAAATTATTCGAGAAAACTCCCACTCCCCCGTCTAATCCCCCACTACCCCACCACCCTCCTCCGCGCTGTCGAACTGGCGCCGGCCCAGTCCTTCTAACACCTCGTCGACACATCTAAACCACAAAAATCTTGCGATCAATTCCGCGTGAGGATCTGGGCTCGCCTCAGGCTGGGAAATGACAGTGGCTGGCCGTATAGGGGTGGGTTGCCGTGAGTTAGGTCGACCCTCAGAACAAATGATGATGGCTGGGTATCCTCAGAATCGGTGTTCTTCGGCATAGTCGTCAATGGAGATAATGAAAGGGGTGTTCAGATTTTGGCTAGGAGGCTGCTTGTGGTTCGGTTTGGCGGCGCTAGGCGGATCTGGGCGAGGGAGGTGAGTATCGCGAACGGGATTGCGGCTAATTTCAATTGTTTGTTCATGTTTGTTGTTGAAATTCTAATCTCTAATCTGATCTGGGTGAGGGAGATGATGAAGGGAGGTGTTCAGCTTTCGACTAATTTCAATTATTTGTTCATGTGTGTTGTTGAAGTTCTAATCTCCAATCTAATATGGGCGAGGGAGATGATGAAGGGAGTGTTCAGATTTCGGCTCATTTTAATTGTTTGTTCATGTGTGTTGTTGAAGTTCTAATCTTCAATCTGATTTGCCTCGGTGATTTTTGTTGTTTGATTTGGCCCGTTCATTTCGCTGATTCGAGTTTAGAATTTGAGTTTTGTTACAGTAAAAAGCTCTCACAAACAATCACATCTAACTTTTTTACTACAATAAAAAATTCTCACATAAAATCACATCTCAACTCGAATTAAAAACTCAAATCAGCGAACTAGACGGGTCCTAAATTTTTCTTTAATTTACTTTTTCTTCATTTGGATTTATAGGTAAAAGTAAGAATATGTTATTTTTTCTTTTTTTATAATACTTAAATCTTTTAAATTATTTAGAAATTTTCAAAATTTATCAGTTTTTTGGTTGATTAAATAGTAGGGTAAAAATGTTAATTTACATTTTAAAAATGGGCATCAAGGTAATAAAAAGACATTTTCTAAAACGCTGAAGTATTATTTTAATATTATAAAAACTACATAATATAAATTTAAGGTATGTTTAGTTTGTGGATTTGTGTCATGATTTGAATCATGGTTTGTGGTTCGTTATAATATTTTTTCTCATAAAAAATACACGTAAATCAAGAATAATTCTGAATCTATGAATTGAACGTTCACTATGTTTTACTATAATACGGCGTATGACTTTGAGTCTGTTTGGTTGGAGGATTCGTTCTCTGATTCGAATCATGGTTCATGATTCGCTACAGTATTTTCTCTCACAAAAAATACACGTAAATCAAAAATAATTTTAATCTCATGGTTCTAATCCATCAACTAAACGGGCTTTTTATCTCAAAAGAATATATCAAATTAATAAATTACTTAATTGAAAAGAAAGAAAAAACACTCAATTATTATTTCTCATGCGTAAGGATCAAAAGATGCCTCATATATATTCTTCCCCTAATTAAGAACGGTGAAGAAAGAAGGAAAGCACGGAAAAGAAGACCCCCACAAAGGTGAGAACAAGAAGCAAAATCGCCACAACAAAAACCACAAACGACAGTGTCGTTTTCTTGGCGCACCCACTCATGAGTTTCCCCCACTTTGAATGCAAATTTTTTGTGTGGTACTCATGCACTTGCTCAAGAAGCCTCAAGTAGTAGGAATCCTTTGCGGTAACTTTCTCTCCAAGCTTCTGAAACATCGCAACGACATCATCTTCCTTGCCTTCTTCATAACTCAAAACACGCCTTTCCCCAAGCAATTCCACATCCTTCTTTGATTTGACCAAGCAATGCATGAGAAAGGCATAAGATGTCGTTTGTTGTGTGTCCGCAAGGTGCGTCTCAAGTGCGATGAGGTTCCTGAGAAGCTCCTCCGTACACTCTTTGATTTCGAGTTGTGGGATTGTGAGGACCCCACGATGGTGAAACGTGACATCTAACAAGCTATAAGTCCACCCCCTCTTAAACCTTATCCCGGCTTTTTGCAGCCTCGTTGCCGACTCCAAACCCTTAGGATCAGAAGTAGTACAACTCGTTTTATTTGGCAAAACCCTCGCCGGTATGATGCACCGGCGGATTAGGTCGAGAAAGTGGTACCCTTCTTGGTTGAACTTCTCATGAAGATATTGCAAGTCTCCAGGGACCATGTTCCTGAAAAACCTAGAGGCTAGTTGATTAAATGACATGGTACATTGCGGGGGGATAGGGACAATGTGGAATATTTGTAGGAGGACAAATAGTGGGATTTGGTTCTCTAGCAAAATCATGTCACTCCTCAACTCATAGAGCGACCCGGGGGTGGTGAAAATGGTGTCGTTTCGGCGTCTTAGACCCTTTATGGAGAATTTAAGGAAGAGTTCAATGATGAAACAACAATCGACTAGAATGATTTCGACAAAGTCGTTGCTCTTGATGTTGTTGAATTGTTCTCCATAACATTTTCTTATCCTATGCTCGGACTCCTTTAGGGCTTTGACACAAGCGTCTATTGTTGCTTCCAAGTTTGGTTTTCGGTTGAGGAGTGAGGCTGTGTACTTCCACTTATGGTCTTCTATCTCTAGAGTTTTGGTTGCCTTGTGATGGATAGGGCCTATTGAGACCTTCGATGGAGTATACTCCTTGTCGTTTTCGCTTCGAGGGATTCTGAAGATGAAGACTAGTTTAGAAACATCTTCCATCTTTTGCTTCATTTTAGATACAAGTTGATGAGAACCTTGATCTCCTTCTTCTCCTTCCATTTCTTCTTTCACTTCAATGATGTGTCCTTCTTTGGATTGTGATCCTTCTGATCTACTACTTTCTTCCATCTGGCTGAAAATTTTTGAAGGAAAAAAAAAGATTGAAAAAAAAAAACACAAATAATAGCAAATGTAAGTAATCAATATAACATTGCTAACGAATTAGCATTACCATACATTTTCTTGAGTTGTAGGAGGCTTTACGTTTTTTTTTTTTTTTTTTCCCTCAAAGTTATTATGATTTGATCTCACGTACTTATATTTTTCACTAATTAATTTGGATGGAAAAAACAAAAAAGAAGAACCTATAACAGCAAATGTAAGCATTTAGATCAGAACAATATTGGTTATATGTCATCACTTACTATGGATTTCATTGATTGGAGTTCTTTGTAGATGATCTTGTATTATATTTTTCACTAATTATTAATTAATTAGTGATTTACTCCATAGTTTGGTGGACTAAATTTCATTCAAGTACATTGGTAGTAGACTAATGTATAGATCAGAAAATACTAAGATGACTCTTGATCAAGTAAAATACTCAAATATCGGTGCTAATTAGAGACTGCAGTTTACCTATTAATGGGGTTTGTCTATTGCCCAACTACCAATTGTAGTGAATAAGTACTCATTCAATAATAATAATAATAATAATAATAATAATAATTAAATAAATAAAAACAACAACAACAACATTGACATCACACACACACACACACACACACACACACATATATATATATATGTAAAGTCATAGCAGAAAAGTTCTAAGACACAATATATTTAAGTAAAATACTCAAAGATCTCTTAGCAAAGGGGAAAAAAAAGGGTAAAATACTCAAAGATTGGTGTTAAGAGCTAGTTTACCTTTTCTGGAATTTCTCAAATTACCCAATAACCAAAATGTGGCCAAAATGCTTGAACTGGGTTTGTTCAGCCAACTCAGCAAATAGCAATTCTTAATTCCTATCAGCTTTCATAATTGGTAATCAATTTTTGCATCTTAGAACTTGAATGACTAGTGTGACCAAGAAAAAATAGTACTTGATAGGAATAAGGAATCCAGGGTAACTTGAGAAGAATGGCAAGAGAAACTGAAAAAAAAAAAAAAAAAAAAAAAAAAAAAAAAAAAAAAAAAAAAAAAAGAACTTCAAAGATGTCAGTAGTAATACTGGGGTAATCTGGAAAGAATTTTTTAGAAGCACCAGCAGAGAGAATTGCTTTATTCTAATGTAAAGCTAAATATGATTACTTAATACTGAATGCAAGGATTAATTACAGTAAAATGGCTGTGGCCTTTTTGGTCTGAACATAATTATATGAATTTGATTTAATTTTTCTACACTTGGTCGGCTAGAGTTTTAAAATGTAACACCCATTTAGTCTAACCTTAAAGTTACCTAATTATGCTAGGTGTCGTTACTCTTTTAAAACTTGTTTCTAACTTACCTTGAGTTTTCTTTTGATTGGTAACATTAAACTGTGGGACAAATTTGAACTTTTTAACACTTTCTTTGCACAATGGTACAAAAACATGATTTTAGTATTTCTTTTGACTGATGTCATATACAGTATAATACATATCTCAAAAATAGATCTGACAGTTCTTACATACAAAAAACAATAGCATAGTAAATAGTTAGTAACTTAGGGCCTCAAACAAGTCAGCATCGTCCATATACAAAAGTCCTGGTACTAAGGATGACGTCAACCAACCACCAAAATAATGTACATCTAATGTCGGGATGTGTCTTCATCTGCATCGCCATAAATAAGTGAGCTAAAGTCCAGTAAGTAGAATAAATGCATGAATAAGTAATTTGAACATATAACATCACATCTTAACCTCAGCCTTTCCTATTGTTCCATTTTCTTTAGTATATTATTAAATATTCACTTTGTTGCCTTTTATTTCATCACTTGTATGCACAATTGTCGTGGCTCTATCATTTTTTTTTCAGACCTTGTGGCCATTATTAATAGCATCATGTGTCTCCATGAGACTTAGTGCTCCCATACCTTATGGCCTTCACAATGATTATCATATGTCTCCCAAAGACTTAGTGGTCCCAGACTTTGTGGCCAAATAAATATCATATGTCTCTCATAGACTTAGTGGTCCCAGATTTTATGGCCAAATCATTCTCATGTGTCTCCCAGGAACTTTGTGGTCTTTAATATCCCCATTGGGATTGTTTTAGCCTTATTACTATTCACCACAAATTATCACTCCTTTTTATTACTTTGGTGAATGTTTATCAACCCATTCCTTATATAACATTTTCTTGTATGTTGCACTATGTACATACTTTATGCATTATACATATACATCACATAATCAAGTATCACATATGTACTATGCACAATTATTATGGTAATATAGGTAATATTCTACTTACCTCGAGCCTTATTGAAGCTCTCTGATATCCTCTCAGGGAATCCGGTATTCCACTCGCCTGAAATATTGAGTATTTTAACTAACATTATACCCGACCAATAATGACTAATAATTATGCATTAAGGAGCTCATTTTCCTAATTTACACCTCCATTTAACATCAAGCCTCCATGACCAGACTTATATTTAATCCTCTAAAACATTACAAGCCTCTATAACAAGATTAAATTGAGTTCGTGGGTGAAAGAACGTGTAAAACAGAGTAAAAACCCCAATTTAGGTGACTTCTATAATTTTCCCAATTTTTACTAATTTTTTTTAATATTTAAATAATTATTTTAAGTGACAATCATAAAAAATAGGAGTTTACAGGACTTACACGCAAGAAACGGCACCAAAAACGGACTCCGGGGCCCTGAAAACCCTTGACTAGGCTGGCCTAGTCAGGCCGTGGCCCAGTCAAGCAACCCCAAGGACGTGTCTGGCTGGGCGGCCCTGGCCTGCTTACGCGCGCATAGGCAAGCGTCCACTAGGCCCAGGCGTGTGCCTGGTGTGGCTTGGTGCACGGGCAACACCAAAATATGGCCTAACTCCCTCATTTTTTTATCCAAATTAAGTCAAATTTTTTTCTAAAAATTTTGGCATAGTTTTTCCTTCATTTTAACACTCCCTAAAGCATAAAAACATATGTTTTGTAACTTAAACAAATTTAAATTGACCAAAACTCACAAAACATCTTGAAACCACAAATTCATCCAATACCACAAACTGGATCAGCCTCAGATTTTAGGTTATAACTCCCAAATCAAATTGAATTTGCCAAAACTGTTTTAGTGGAATTTATTTAACATATAAATGAGCATACCCTGAGAAATTCAGCTCATAACAGGCTTCCTAGCCTAGGTAACCAAGTACAAACCTGAACCGGTTTTGAAACAATCCTGTTTCTGGACAGCTTCCACAAACGAACTTCAAACCAGCACTTTCCTATTGAATTTGCTTATGCCCTTTTATGGGGATCCTCTTGACACATAAGAGATCATGCTGTTCAATTTTTGAACAGACTTGAACACAGAGCTAACACCGAAATAGTGGCTTATCTTACTCTAGTTTGAGTTTTCTTGCGATTAAGCACCCAAAACTTACTAAACCACCAAAGATTTCTCTTATCCTCACTTGAGCCTTGCTGGAAATGGAGTTTTCAGAGGTTGGAGAGTCGGACTTAGAATTTTTAAGGCTGATAGCTTAAGCTGCTTGCTTAATAAACTTTTTAAACAACCTAGCAACCACCTTAAGTACTTCACCATGAAGTACTCTCACCTAAGCTTCCCTTGTGTCAAATTTCCAGCATATAACTTCTTTCTTTAAAGTGTAAAACACTTTTACAAAAGCCCAAGTACACCTTAAGTCATAACCTATCATTTTTCTTTCCAAATCAAGCGTATGTGCTCGTAGCGATTTCTTGTATGTTATAGATTTCATCTATAAATCTTAAACCACTCATAATCAAAACCTTACACCAATATTTCTAAAACCTTCCATACATTATAAAACATGCTCTAATGAACTTCTAAAGCAACTATAACCTCCCAAAACCCTAATCTAGGCTCGAAAGTCCAAATGCTGAAAATTGTGTCAAACTAGGGTTTCTAGAGTAGTCTCACCCTATAATTCACGTGAAACTCACGTCAACCCTTCGTAATCAATCTTATCCTCTTATATACTCATTATAAATTGTCCCTTACTATATTTTGGTCTATTCACCCAACAAAACGCATACTAAACCTTCCCGTTACATCTAAAGTCGACCGTTTTACTCATTTTTTTGTACTTTTAAAATATTTGAACTCCGTTACCTATTAAGTTCCATATGAAATCATTCTTAAACTTCTTATCCTTCATTCCCACTTACCGGATTCACCTTTAAGAAAACCTATAACTTATGAATATAATATACACATTTAGCACTAAAATGTACCTTATTAACCTGATCATGTACCTTGATGACAGATCAAGCATATAACTCATATGCATATAAATGTAAAATCATATAATGCATTGACCAACTAGTATGTGAGAAATCTGGGCATCACATAAAATTCTGGGGGTGGAGCCAAGAATAAAGATGGCGCAATATGCTTTTCATCACAAACATGTATCATGTGATGAAAAACATATTGCTTCAGCGACAAGTCGTTTTGTTTTAATATAAACTACACGTCGTTTATTGAAGGAGATGGACAGTTTCAGAAGAAACGACATCTAGGTTTTGAGGACAAAGTTAAACGATGCCATTACCAGACTTTAAATAAGGCAAAACTATGTCGCTCATAACATTCCGACAACAAATAAAGCCAGATACATTCAAGTTCCAACTTCCTACCACGATCCACGGGCTAAATTCTGTTGACCAATAACTTGTCGTTTGGTTAAGTAAACGACAATAAACCTCCCACATCAAACGACGTGAAGTTTCTCATCTAAAAAAGTAGATAGAAGATGAATCTTATTGGATAAACGACTATTAATATGAAGAAGAAAAAAAAACGACTATAAATATGATGGAAAAGGACAGGTTTAAGGACAACAAATCTTTCCTATAAAAAATTACACGTCGTTTATTTATTAGAAGAAAGCTTCAAAATATAAACGACATGGAGTTTTAATTCTTCAAACATCAAACGTCGAACAACATGATATTCTAAGGGAAAAAAAAAAAGAAGAAAAAGACATGTTTTGCCTCGCATTTCGGGCAATTAGCAATAATTTTTTTGTGGACTTCCGGAAATTTGTTTCATGTAGCTTGGCAAGGAAACTTTGAGGCATGGGTACAGGACCCCTTACATGTAAGACCTATTGCTCATGCAATTTGGGATCCTCATTTTGGCCAACCGGCTGTGGAAGCTTTTACTCGAGGGGGTGCTCTTGGCCCAGTGAATATCGCTTATTATGGTGTTTATCAATGGTGGTATACAATCGGTTTACGTACTAATGGAGATCTTTATAATGGAGCTCTTTTTCTATTATTTATTTCGGTCATATCTTTAATAGCGGGTTGGTTACACCTACAACCGAAATGGAAACCGAGCGTTTCGTGGTTTAAAAATGCCGAATCTCGTCTCAATCATCATTTGTCAAGGCTATTCGGAGTAAGCTCCTTGGCTTGGACAGGACCCGTCCTCCTCTCTTTGAAACAAGGGGCGCTTCTGGTTCTGTCGGTGCTTGAAACAATTTTGTCTTCTCCATATTACTATATCTCTAGAGTCAATAATTTTATATGAAGAACTACTGAACTCAATCACTTGCTGCCGTTACTCTTCAATTTTCTGTTGAGCTGTAGAGGTACTCAAATTGGATCAGTGATCGATTTCTAGGTTTACGACTGGTTTTTTAAAATCAATAATTAGGGGTGTAAAAATTGAGTCTGAATCCGACTAATCCGCCCGATTCGACCCGATCCTACATGAAAATATAGGGTTATTTTTTTTTTTTTTAAAATCAGATTCAAATTGGCCCAACCCGCCGCGGGGCAGGCATTTTTTAACCCGCTATGCCCCGACCCGGCCGTGAATACTCATTTTCACTTGGGGTAATCTTAAGTCTATAACCCTAATCACTTCACGCCTCCCTCGCCTCCTTCTCAGTTCCTCTTCTCACTTCTCAGTTCCTCTTCTCACTTCTCAGTCTCTCTCATTTCCACCTGGACTGTTTATGAACTTTATGCTTTTGGACTGTTAAAGAGCTACTTGGAATGTTTTTTAAATATGCAGATTGCAGGCTATGGATGTTATGTTAATGCTGTTGAATGTTTTGAATGTGTTAGATTATATTTACGTATGTACAGTTTTTTTTACATGTTCATAGTTGCTTATTTAGTTGTTGAATGGTAAAACTAAAAAATTGCAATTGAATGAAATGAGGTCTGAAACAAATCACTATTTTGAAAACAACATGAAAACTTGATGCTTAGTAGGAGAACTTCAATTTTCGGCCTCTTGTAGCCCAGTGGGAGACCAGGGGAGTGACACATAGACTGCCCTAATCAACATTCAGGCCCGATCAACCTGCAAAACCGAGCCTATCCGAGATAACCCGAAGAGTTATGAGTTTGTAGTACTAATATGGGTGTTGCGATCTAAATTTTTCTCAACTAATTAGTACGGCTCGGCCTAAATAATAAGCCCAACTCGAGCCTACCCAATCGATTTACACCCCCTACCAATGATCTCAGGAAGAAGAAGACGACCCCAACAAAGAAGAGTAAAGCCAGGCCGCCCAAAGTTCAAAGAATCTGTTCTTTGTTGCTTTTATTTTTCTCTTCTTTTTTGTATTTTTTTTTTTTTTGGGGTCAAAAACCGAAGAAAAAATATTAGCAGATCGCTTCAGTTGAGTTCCCAATTCCCAATTAGCAAAACGAGTGTCGTTCCTCTTCTGAGCTCCCAACATTCTCTCTCTCTCTCTCTCTTCTGATATTCGCATGAGCTCTTCTTCTTACTTAGGATCCTCGGAAACCCCAAAATCCGTGTCTTTGTGGGCGTCGAAACGATGGCGTTTTGGTGGCCTCTTCTCGTTTTGGCCTTCGCTTACGCTCTCTGCAGGTTCCTCTTGATGCTCATTCCCCCAAATGTCCCTTCCATTGACGTCGACGCTTCTGATGGTACTCTCTCTCTCTCTCTCTCTCATCATACATATATATATATATATATGTATATATGTGTTTGTATATGTTTATATGTCCGTTTTGATTTTTTGTGTGTAATGGATGAATCAATGCAGTGATGGACGACAAGAATCAGATCCCAGAAAACAGTTTCATTTATGTGAGTTTCTTTTTTTTTTTTTTTTTGTGTATGTTGGCCTTTTCATTTTCATAGATTATTTTGCTCAGTTCTGGAATTTTTTTTTGCTATTATTAATGTTGTTAGTTTCTGCTACTTTGACATGTTTGAGTTAATATGATCTCTGTGGATAATGCTAAAGGAGGGAAATTTGAGTTAGGTTTGATTACTCCATAATTGATGTGAATTGGTTTGCTTATACTTGGATATATCTAGTATATTAAAAGATGACATTTTAGTCTAATTTTGGTGATATCTAGTTTGCAAGATTGGGATTTAATTTGGGTTTCTTCCAAAGGAAAAAAGTGAAAAAAAATGGAATGGTGATTGGGTCTCATTTTTGGCGATTTTATAGTTTCCAAGTTGAACAATGCCTGGATTTATAAATAGTCTAAAGAATAGCATTTTGGTCCCATCCAGTTCTAGTGATTTTCTAGTTTGTAAGTTGTCTCAATATAGAACAATGAGGAATGCTTTTAGGGGTTAAAAAACTACATATTTAATGTAAGAAAGAGTTAGAAATAAACAGAATTTGGGGAATACTTGTTAGTCACTTCATGTAACTTGTATTGAGTGAAGCATACTATAGAGAAGGTTCTTAGTTGTTAGTGATTTTTTTCTTTTTTTGGTCCCCTAAAAATATGCTAGTCTTGGTTTATGTCTTGGGTTGCAACCAATTACCGTATATCGTCCTCATTTGTATTTTTCATAAATTTTCTTGTGATAAGTTGAGTGAAACTTATGTTCCTCCAATTGGTGTTTTCTCTATTCAGATACCCCCAAGGGGAAGGACCCAGTCGGATACGAAAGTTCAGTGCTATGAACCCGCAACTATGAAATATCTCGGATATCTTCCTGCTTTGACACCTGATGAGGTTAGTGACGATGTCTATGGTTATGCATTGTTGTGACTGGAATTGATTTGCTGTTTTTCTTGGACTAGCTAGCTTTCTTCTTGTTCTCTTTTCTGTTGGCGTTCCACAATTGGTAGGTAGGACAGTTGTTTTATGTACCATGCGAAATGATGTTACAACAGTTTTGTCAGCGAGGAGGATAAAGTAAAAAACAGAAAATAAGAGCATATTCAGTATTGTCTAAAATTGCCATTCAAATTTATATTTCAGGTCAGGGTGCGTGTGGTACAGGCAAGGAAGGCACAGAAAGTATGGGAAAAGAGTAGCTTCAAGCAAAGACGTCAGTTCCTTAGGATACTTCTAAAGTATATAATTGAACACCAAGAGCTTATATGCGAGTAAGTACTTTGTTCTTCTTGGACAGAAAAATAATTTCTTTCTAACCATTACTCTTTCCTTGTTCTTTCCCATCTTCTTTGCTTCCTTTTTCCCTTTGATTGGAGCCTAGAAGATATTGATATTCACTTCTGTCTTTCTAGATTTCATTATTCTATTAAGCTAAGTATAACTTTTATACTTATTGGTTTGTCGTTTTCATTAGAATTTCTTCACGTGATACTGGAAAGACAATGGTCGATGCCTCTTTGGGAGAAATAATGACAACTTGTGAGAAGATCACCTGGCTTCTCTCAGAGGGTGAGAAGTGGCTGAAGCCTGAATACCGGTATTTTCATCATGCTATTTCTATGTTATTCCATGTCATATTGTTTTTATCAGAGTGTTGGTAATCCATTCCATTGTGTTTGCATTTTATTTTATTTGCTTATTGCTAACTATCTCCTTGATATATGTTGGAGTCAACTTGTCTACCAGCACTATGTCGGTTTACACATTGAAGAATATTTCCTTCTACCACCTCAGTTTTATAATCTTTTAACATAAAGGTGTTTGATATTTCCAGATCTTCTGGACGATCAATGCTTCACAAGAGATCGAGAGTGGAATTTCACCCACTTGGTGTTATTGGTGCCATCGTTTCGTGGAACTATCCTTTCCACAATATTTTCAATCCAATGCTGGCAGCTGTCTTTTCAGGAAATAGTGTTGTGATTAAGGTACTTAATGTTCTATTATTGTTGTGATTAAGCTATTAAGGTACTTTAAATAATGTCGTATTATGTAATTTCTTTTCCACCCTGTGATTTTGGATACATTTAAGCTTTGTGAAATTGAAAATGATACACCTGTCTATTTCCGTAGCTGTTTATATGATCTGATTGGTGATTGCCTAACACCTTATATCCATATTCTGTTGCTGCATCTGATGTGCTGTTGTTTTCCAATTACGATATGGATATTAGGGTCGTATATTGAGATAGTTTTGTTTTATTGTCTATTTTATTCAAGTAATATTGAACTTTAATCTATGATTTGGCAAAAAACGTGGTACTTGTAGGTTTCAGAGCATGCAAGTTGGTCTGGATGTTTCTACTTTAGAATAATCCAGTCAGCCCTTGCTGCTGTAGGAGCTCCAGAAAATTTGGTTGAAATTATCACCGGGTATAATTTCGATTTAAACTTTTCCTTTGAATTCATGTTCTGTATTTGGCCTTGTTTCTTGTCTTACCTGCAACAGACAATGTTTGTCAGGTTTGCTGAAACAGGAGAAGCTCTGGTGTCTTCAGTTGACAAAATAATATTTGTAGGGTCACCTGGTGTCGGTAGGATGGTATGGCATTCTTATCGTTGCTTTAATATCTTACTTTCTTTCTTAAAGAGGTTCCCTGGTTCTAAAATTCGTAATTCTCCTTTTATATAACTTCCAATTTGTAAGGTGAGATCTTTGTCCAATCAGTGGCGAAAAGATTATGATTAATTTATTTCTTATGGAAGTACAACATCTCAATTATTATTTCCAAAGGGTAGATTTTATTTGAGAAGATCTGCCTCTGGGACCCTGGGTAGAAGACCTTATAGGATGTCTATTATTTCTCATCCTTAAGTATTTATGAATTCTTTCAAGTTCTGTATCTCTTCAACTTGTCTTTTGAAATTGTGAAGTCGGTTCCAACTCTAATCTCTCTGTATAATCTCATTGGCTGCCATACTTGCTTTTTCTGCAGATAATGAGAAAAGCTTCAGAGACACTTATACCAGTTACGCTTGAACTTGGTGGGAAAGATGCATTTATTGTGTGCGATGATGTTGATGTGGAACGTGTATGAAAATTCTGAACTGTACTTCTGTGTTGTGGTTGTCGATAAGGCTTTGACATTCTTACAAGATTTTTGATTTATAAATTGCTTTGCTCAAGTGATTTTATTCTGGAGTGTCATTTGTTCTAATATTATTTTTGAAAATTCTATCTAGGTCGCACAAATTGCTGTCCGGGGTGTTCTTCAATCGAGTGGACAGAACTGTGCAGGAGCAGAGAGGTTTTATGTTCATAAGGACATTTATTCTTCCTTTGTTAGCCAAGTTGCCAAAATCATTAAAGCTGTTTCAGTGGTAAGTATCTTCGCCTCTGATACATTCATTACGTCCGATAATCGCTAGTGCAGTTGTAAACTTTGTTTTTGAACATTTGGGATGAAAAGTCTATAGCCTGTGCCTGCACTGTATGTGTAAAATCGTCTTTAAAGTGCTATAACAGTAATTGTAGAAGGCGTTAAACTACCTACATTTGAATTAGAATCCTGTCATATTTATCTTTTCTATTTATGGCTGATATTCAATTGCATGTTACTTATGATTTATCTTCTAAGGGAGCAGATTGGAATCTTTTTTTTTCTTCATGCCTTGTTGAGACACGTGCATAAATTGTACAAATTAGTGTAAATGAAACTAGGTACGATTTCAGCTGGTTTCTATTGAGATGAATCTCCAGTTGTGTAATCAAGAACAGGACATTTCATTTGTGAACACATAAAATATGCTCGAGTGTAAGTACTAGAACTAATGTGTGGCAAAGCATTTTCATTGTTGTAAACTCTCGAATCTATCTTCTGTTCCAGGGCCCACCACTTTCTGGAAGGTATGATATGGGAGCCATATGCTTGCAAGAGCATTCTGAGAGGCTTCAAAGCCTTGTAAACGATGCCATAGAAAAAGGAGCAGAAATTATTGCTCGTGGAAGCTTCGGCCATATTGGTGAAGGTGCAGTTGATCAGTTTTTCCCCCCAACTGTGCTTGGGAATGTAAAACACACGATGAAGTTGATGCAGGAAGAGGTAGCAGAAATCCTGTTCTTTTGTCTAAAATATGATTCTCATGAGTTTTCTTTGATTCTTGACATTTAAATCTTCTATGCTTTATTCCCTTCAAGTAATTACGGTTGCTTGTTTATAGGATGGAAAAGAAAAGGATGTGAAAATTTACTAGATAAGTAGATATAGCTAAGGTATAGAGGGTATCTTACATCTTCTGCTGCTTACATGGAGAGATGTTTCATAATTTATGTAGGCATTTGGACCAATCATGCCAATAATGAAGTTTAGTACTGACGAAGAGGCTATCAAGCTTGCAAATGACTCAAGGTATGGTCTTGGCTGTGCTGTTTTTTCAGGAAGTCAGCGACGTGCCAGAGAGATAGCTTCACAGATACAATGTGGAGTTGTTGCTATAAACGATTTTGCATCAACTTACATGTGTCAGGTAATTTTTCATTTGATTGCTAGTGCATTTGGTAGTGGTAAATTTTTCCCCTTTATTAAAGATGTCTCATGGTTTTTTTAGTCCCTGCCATTTGGTGGTGTAAAAGACAGTGGATTTGGAAGATTTGCTGGTGTAGAAGGATTGCGTGCTTGCTGTCTTGTGAAATCCGTTGTCGAGGATAGATGGTGGCCATACATCAAAACCAAGATACCAAAGCCTATTCAGGTCAGATTTGAAAATTAAAACTTCTAACCCTTGTAGAAATCTTTAATTTCACTTCAGAGAAACTACTCCCCTAAAAAATTACTGATTCTGTTGTTCTTCCAATCACAGTATCCGATTTCGGAGAATTGTTTCGAGTTTCAGGAGTCGCTTGTTGAAACACTCTATGGCCTGAACATATGGGATCGTCTGAGAGCATTGGTCAATGTTCTAAAGATGATTTCGGAGCAGCAAAACGCTTCTGATAACAACAGCAGCAGCACGAGAAGAAATGACTAAGCATGACGCGTGAGGCTTAGCGACTTTTTCAACGGTTCAACAGAGTCAAGCACCCATGTTTCAAGGATATCTGGGACTTTAGACTTCCTATTTGTGCAACAGCTAGTGTTGAGCACTGTCCTAATTGTCTTTTAGTTTTTGTGTCGAATTACATTTGGTAATATATTTATCTTTTGGAAGGAAGGAAATAGACCAAATTATGAATTATGAGAGGAGTAAACAATAGGAAATCTTTACGTTTTTTTTTTTTTTTTTTTTGAGAAGATGCAACCCCTTGTTTTGCTCTAGTGCACGTTTATAAAAACCGTAGATCAAAAGCGAATGGTTAAAAAGATGTTCAGGTGTTGCTTTTTAACTCTTCACATAGAATTAGGAGTGCTTTAAACTTCCTATTTGTGGTGGGAGCTATTAAGTACATTCAAAATTTTTAAAATGAGTGCTTAATTAATGAAGTAGGCCCTACATTCAAGAATGCTAATCAGCATTGCATTTGGGGAGCTCCGCATAACTCAGATGAGCAACGCGACGCGGTATATCATGATGGAGCATCATGACTTTTTCTTCGCCTCATTCTCTCTGCTATCGTGGACGGGGAGCTTCCGTTAAGGCCGGAGAAGGCAGAGATCCCTACGGCGGCGTCGAACTAGAATCACGAGTGACAGATTCTTGCTCATGAGGCCGGAATCACGGAGGGTAGATCTCCGATTGGAGTTCATTGGTGATTTTTCTCTCAGATTTCTGCCACCTTTCTTTCAAGAACTCAAAAGCAGTACCGATTTGTTTGTGGAGTGGTTTCCCAAATTAAACCAATTATCTAGATCCCAAATGCTCTTATTTTTTATTCACCGGTAAATAGGGTATTTAACGGTATAAATATGGTATTTAGGAGAATTAAAGACAACTAAATTGTTTTGTTACTATTATTTGTTATTTAGTCACGTTGTTTTAACTCCCTGAACATCCAAAACATAAAACGGCACCTCATTCAACTAAGAGAGATCCCATGCTCAAAACTTTAGAGCAGCTAGCAATGTATTTAATATATATATATATATATATATATATATGTTTCAGTAATGGAAACACCATATGAAACTCCTACTAGTCCATCAAAACAAATGAGGGTGACGTAGGAAGTGCGGTGGGCCAGCAAAGATGCTTAAGTGGGAAGGGAATTAGTCGTAAAAGGGCTCCCTAAACTGGATTTACCTTGTCGGAAACTTTGCCCATCCCTGTTAAACAGCGTTTTCCACGTTTTTGTTTTTGGTTAATGTTGAGTCGGCAAACAGAATTGGCTTTATTTGGGTGGAAACTTCCAACACGTGAAATGGATCTTCTTCAACTCCTGCTAACCTAATTTCAAATTGGAAACACCAGGAGCAATTATTGTTGTTATCATCATCATTATCGTCTGAAGCTTTCAAAATTTTAGTGGACGTTTGGTTTATAGATTTAAAATTATAATTCAGAACCATTATTCATTTTGCGTATGTTTTTAATGAGAGAAAAATATTGTAAAGAACTATGAATCATGATTCAGAATCATGAACGAATATAGAAAACAAACATGCCCTTAAATATGTGCTAGTCTTGCAAGTGTTTAGGCAACAACAACCGTAGATGACCTCGGCATACCCCGAGAGCTAATTTGGGTGTTAAAATACCCTGCTTTGCCGGTGAGTTCGGTGGGCGGGTCGATGAAGCGGCAATGCCACCTCCTCCTCTGTTTTATCGTTGCCTCGTGCTCAGACACTTCATCAAACAAGTCCAAGCCAACAATGCCTGCATGGTGTAACATATAAAATAAATTTGAGTCTCACATCTTTTAAATTTAAACGTAAAAATGCATACAAATTTTAAAAATATTAAGACTTCATTCAGTTCGTTCATTCGAATTTTTAATTCGAGCTGAGATGTGACTTTATGTGAGAGATTTTAATTATAGTAGAAAAAATTAAATGTGACTTTTTGTGATAGTTTTTAACTATAGTAAAACTGAAATTGAAAACTCAAATCGGTGAAATAAACAAGCGCTAAGTCACTAGACTCAAGATGTTTGAAGATAAACTACAAGCCCTTGGAGTCCAACAACGATAATGATATTAGACCACAACAAGCTCAAATGAGTAAACACAAACTTCTAAGATCATTGGGTTTGCTCAGCTAATAGGATGTTCTTTATATGTTATTTTAATTTAACGCTCCATTACATAATATCATTCAAATGCTATATTGAAAATATTGACTTTCAACGGTTGTGAATGTCGACTCATTCGATTAAATGATTTTAAAATACCAAAACTACGATTTAATGTCACACTTTAGCATATACTATATTAAGTCCAATTTCTATACCATGACAGAAAAAATGCTGTAAATTTAAAAAATATTATGCTATAATTTATTATCATTTTTAAAAAATGTTATGCACTTTAAACATAAATACTAAATATGCTATATAAAGCATTTTTCCTGGATCTATCAGTCCGATCTCTCCGCTATTACCATAGACCCCTGAAAAAATTTATAATAAAAGTGTGGGTGTATCAGGGGTCATTGGTAGTGAGAGCAAAAGTAAGTCTGTGTGATTGTAAAACATTTTCTCACACTAGATTTCTATCTGAGTCCCGTTATTGGACCTTTGGGGTAGTTCGCCATTTGTGATTGTTCGGCTGTGTTTAGAGTTGTTTTTGTTTTTATTTTTTACATGTTTTGAGAAAAAAAAAATTAAAACGAGAGAGAAATGGTGTTTGACACAATTAAAAATAAAATATAAAAATGAAAATGATTTTTTGATTTAGTGTAAAATAAAAAAGAAATGAAAAATCATTTTTAATCGTTTTTTATTTTTTGTTTCCGTTTTCTTCTCTCTTGAGCAGAGAGAGAGATATTAATAAATTTTTTTATGCTGAAAATAATCTCTTTATAAAATTACCAAGCGCATTTTTAAAAATAATTTCTGTCTGAGATTAAAAATATTTTCATTTCTATTTTCATACAAAAAAATAAAATTATTTTAAGACGAGTTCTAAACGCACACCTCAGTTTCTTGCTTGCATTTTCTTTTTCTCAGGGCTTCTTGAATTTGCTGAAGATGACTTGAGGCGTTTTGTGGAAAGAATCGTAGCACAAGGTTGGGTTTCTGGTTTTGGCAACATTAGAGCCATGGCCTTCTTATACCGTCAGCTATATAAAGACAAAAGTCATCCAAAACAAAAAATAATTGACATTGATGAACTATTTAAGTGCTTTTGAGTGGACCATTTCTGTGTAAGGCTCCTTTCTGCATTTTAGAAGGTTAATTTGTAAAACAGTTCATTTTCGTCAGCAAAAAAAGAACGGAGTCTAAACTATCACTCTTCTAAAATGTTTTCTTTTTCAAACATTTCGTTCTTTATTCTGTATAAACATGGACATTTAATCTCTTTTTCTCTTGTCTTTGTCTCTTTATTTTCTGATTTAATTACTATTATCATAATTAAGGATACGAACCATTTATATATGGCTTATCTGTAAGCCAAGCGTTTTTTTTTCCCTAATCCCAAGACATTTTGGTTTCAGGCCTGCCGTTCTTTTCAACTGAGCTAGGTCTTTATCTATTCTATGAGATGAGTTACTACAAAAGGAATTTTTTTTTTTTTTTAAAAGAAAATTGGTGTATGCCATCTGATTTTTATCAACCTGACTGCATAGTGATGATGCATTTATAAACATTGTGAATTAACAATTACTGCAACTCATGAAAAGAAGGATTTTCCTTGGCACTATTAGAAAAGTGTGTTTGCAAGTTGACCACCTGAACATCATTGAAGAACAACAACGACAAAGGCTTAATTTAGTAGTGCTGTAGATTTTAAAAAAATTACTTTTAACTGTGCTAAAAAAAAACATCTATTATAAAAAGTAATTAAGTATTTGGTAAATTATAATTATAGTAGCTATGCTGATTTCAAAATCAACGTAATAGCGTTTGGTAAATTATGAAGTTAAATTGTTGTGGATAATTAAAAATTACGACTATATTATAATATAATATAATATATATAATTACAATATAATATATATTTATTATAATAAAAAATTATTATTATATCATATATTATAATATAGAATATAACAATATTATTAAAATGGTTAATATAATTACAATATTATAAAACATATTATAATAATACATAAGAAATATTAATATTTCAGTTATAATATAATTAAAAATTATAACTATATTATAATATAATATAATATAATATATTATATAATCATTATTATATTATATTAAACAAATATATTATATAACATAACGTGTAATACACTATAATATATATTAATATTAGAATTATAAGATTATATTATTATTTAATTATATTATTATTAAAATAATAAATATAATTATATCAATATAATATATTATTTTTATTATAAAATAATAATTACAATATCATATTATAATTATAATATCATATTATTAAAATAATTATAATATAATTATAATATAATATTATATGATAAAATAATAATATTAGAGTTATTAATATAATTATGATATTATTTGTTACAATATTATTATTATATTATCTTACGAGTCTGAATTTTAGATTGAGAAGATTGTAAATTTTAAATTTTATTAAGGGTATTATGAAAGTTTTATTAATTGTACTATGCTGATTCTTGGACAATCTAAAAGCTAAAGTTATTTTTAAGCTGCTTTTAATTTTGGCTGTAAATTCTTGAAAAATTCTTCAAAAAGCACTTTTGAAGAGATTTACCAGACACTAAAATAAACTTCTGCTACAAGTAGAGGCTGATTTTGGTATAGAAAGACAATACCAAACTAAGCCAAATCTGTTGTTTTCAAGTTCTATTTGCCTTCCCCAAATTTAGATAACAAGTTACAAACATATAACCATAAAAAATAAAATAAAATAAAAAAGTTACAAACATGTAACCATAAAACAGAGAGAATAATAAGAAGAAAGGTTATTTTGACAAATGTCTTTTAAAATGATACCATTAAAAATTTTTAAGTTTTAATATTAGTCTATTAAATTTTATCTTTTTAAAGTAAGTAATTTGATAAATTATTATCTATAATTTAATAAATTACATAAGCGATAGGTCTCCGGTCACCGACAATAAGAGGACGTTTAGTAAGAGAATTCGTACTCTGATTTGATGGTTTACTATAGTGATTTCTCTCACAAAAAATACACGTAAATAAAAAATGATTCTAATATCATGATTTTAATTTATAAACCAAACGTCTCCTAAATCTTATATGATTGATGATTTGCGTAATTTAACAAATTACTATATATAATTTAACAAATTACTATATATAATTTAACAAATTATTATTAAAAGAGTAGCAGGTGAGAAGGACGCGTTAAGTTTTTGCAATTTTCTGTAAGAAGAGGAAAGTGATGGGCCCGAAATCACAGCAGTGATCCAATAACGAACGGAATGGCCCACAGGCCCACGGCCCGAATCGGTCGTCCAGCTGTAACTTCCTTCAACACGTACGCCAACTTAATCAGAGCCGTCAATCAGAAGCCTTCGCCTGCAATGACATGATGTCTTCTCTGATGACGATGATCTATCACCTGCTCCTCCGGCGAATAATATCCTCCCGTGGACCCCACCATTTTTGAAATTACAAGACCAGACCAACCGTCCAAGAGAGACCAAAGAAAGAAGAAAAAGAAGAAGAACAACAAAAAAGATATAAAAAAACAAATAAATAATTCAAAAAAAAAAAAAAAAAACGCCCAGACCAGACTTTGTTCATCTCCATTGCCGACTCTCCGATCCAACGCATCAAACATCGTCGTTTCACTCGGCTTAAACCCTAGCCCCAAAATCAACGGTCAAAAGGTAAGAAACTTCCATTGTTTCTTCTTCCCTTCTCTATTTCCGCTGTTGAATTTTCCGATTCGAAGCTTATTTCTCTGCTCCTTATTCAATCCTTCGATTTTCTGAGTTCTCGATTCCGTTCGAATTGAAGTTGAAATCTAGATTAAGGTTTACAGTTACGATTTTCTTCTTTGGGAGAAATTTTGATGTGTGGAAGTTTTGGTATAAAGTTCTGAGCTTGATGTTGCAGATAAGTTGAAGATGGCGAGGATAAAGCCTCAGGCTCTATTACTTCAAAGCAAAAAGAAGAAGGGACCGACTCGAATCAGCGTTACTACCATAATTTTGTGCAATTTGCTTGTTGTTTTGATCGTTTTGTGCTTATTTGGGACGTATCGCCACTGGTCTAGAAGGTTTTCTTCCGAAATTCAATCCTAGAATTTTAGTAAATAAATTCATTTCTGCAAGTTTTTATTTTTCCGTTCTGAATATTGATGTTAGTTTTTATTTTGTTTTTTTGTTTTTGTAGATCGTCGGATCAAGGCGAGTCTGGCTTATCAACTTTCGAGGTACATATTTTAATCTTATTTTTCCTTTTTCATTATTAATATTAGTATTTTTTTTCAACTTATTAGAATTGTATTTTTTTTTTTTTTTGTGTTGGTGTAGGACACTGATTCCTTTGTAGTTGCAAAGAATTACGGGAGTGATGGTTTTGGGGATTCAAAGAAGTATGATTTACCTGGTTATGCTGTAAGTCTCTATTATCATTATTATTTTTTTTTAAAAAAAAGTTTAGGATTACATTATTCCCTGTTTAATTGAGTGAAGAGAGAGTAACTCACTTGAAAGTTGGAAAATGTTACTGGTTTTGGCTACTTTGGTTCTCTAGTTTGTTTATAAATTGTTCTCTGTTGCCATGTAATGACTGCTAAGTGTTATGTCACGCTATGCGTGGAAGTGGCGACTTCTAGGAGATGGGTTGTGTTATTCATTGCGGCAGGGGCAATATTATGATTGTTCGACTAGCTTTCTTGGATAATCTATGTATATAGATACTTTGAATAAGGTTAATGGAGATATTACATCACTTGTATGAGCTTATAAGACATAGCAACCAGACAGTGAGCCATGCCGCATATAGATTCAGTATATACAATAGGAAGTGACTTTTCAGTGCTAAGGAATGGAAATAAACTCTCTCTATTGCTGAAAACTGTGGTTTTTCCACCTTTATGCAGTTTTTCTAAGTTGCTTGTATGATGTTCTTTTGAATCCATCAATAATGTTCTATATGTTTTGTTATCATGTGCGGTGATTTAGTCTGATGTTAAGGAACACCTGCTCCTAGTGGTCTGATTAACTTTTGAGCTTACTTCTCGTCTCTCTGTGTTTTAACAGGTGATTAAGACATCAAAAGGTTATATAACAGTGGAACTCTTCAAGGACGGGTCTCCAGAGATTGTGGACAGATTCCTTGACTTGTGGTCAGTATCTTATACTCTCACTTGTGATGTTAGTAGACACTACATGCGTTTCTTTCTCCAAATTCATTTCTTTTGATAGAGCAGCTAAGCACATGGATGATGTTAAATGAGGGTTGGTTCTAGGGGCTGGAATTTGATGGATTTCCTTATTATTATTATTATTTTTTATAAATAAAAGCATTTTTAATTCATTAGCAGATTAGCAGATTTGATTGTGGATGGCTCTAGGAGTTAAAATATTTTCCAGCATAAGGTACTTGTGAGTTGTGCCATTGTTTTCTTGATTGAACAGAGAGTAACATTTCTTTTCATCATGTTATGAATAATGACATTGTCATCTTCTTCATCGAAGCGTTTTCTGTAATCTAAAGGGCTATTAGTTTTGTTTTACTCTAGAAGATTGGTGATGTGGCACTGACCAAAGTTGAACACAGTAAATTAAGCTAAATTTATGCACAAGAAACTTCTGATGAGAAAAAAAAGAGAAGTATTCAACTAGGGATGATTGAAAAATGAAAACCACCAATGACTAAAGGCAATTACGGAAGTTCCAGACATGGACAAAAACAAACCAAGAAACAGATAACCTTAATAACACTTCATATAAGATTATTCATTGACTCTAACTATGGTTGATTCTTGGATTTAGTTGGAGGAGACCAGTGATCCATATGCGTGTATATGTTTGATGTTTCTGCTTTTTCTTATATTATATGATTTAAAAAGCATTAACTAACCAGTTTTTTCAGTCAGAAAGGACACTTTAAAGGCATGGCCTTCAGTCATGTGATAAAACATTACGTAATTCACGGAGGAAATTCCCAAGGGCTTGGAGTAGCTGAGGACTGGATATCAAAAGGAAAGCTTCACCGTGAACTTATCACAAGGTTTTTTTTTCTCCGTTATCCTTTCATGTCAGTTTATATTTTCTTCTCTTTGATAGTATAGGTAACTTATGCTTGGTATTCACACAGCCCAAAGCACGAAGCATTTATGCTTGGAACTTCGAAGGCGAAACAAGGCAGCAAGGTATTTGAGCTTTTTATCACGACCGCACCAATCCCAGATTTGAATGATCAGCTTATTGTGTTTGGACGTGTCATCAAGGGTGAGGATGTTGTGCAGGTATGAAGTATTTTTTAAATCTTGGTTATCTTGTATTACAGCGTGACACTTGAATTGAATCACATCTAGTTGTACTAATTTGTAAAATTTTATGTCCTGCTAACCAGGAAATTGAAGAGGTAGATACAGACGAGCATTATCAGCCTAAGCATAATGTAGGGATAATCGATGTGACTCTGAAACGCGAGATCTAAGTGGGCCGAACTGAGCTAGTGTAAAGTTTTTTCTTCATAGCATGGTGCCATCTGTTGTTTCTGTCTGTCGCAAAGCTTCTCTTTGTTTTCCCGCATGTTTTGATTTTGGGAACACTCATAATTCTTGTTGTTTTCTTTTTCTAATTTTACAGCTAATTTGTTTTGTATTTTTCTTTATGAAAGGATGGGGGAGAGTTTGGAGTAGGATTGATATTTGTTGAGTTAAAAAAAAAAAAAAAAAAAAAAAAAAAAGGGCTCCATATCTTGGCTGGGCGATGTGTAACATTCAGTTAAATTTCACTAGCAGATTGATGTCCTCATTATTATTATTTTTATTTTCCTCTGGTATCATTCTGTTCACACATTTTGCGTTGATGAGTTTCTTTTTGAATGCTTTTATTAGACAATGTTGAATAATCATACATAATATTGGACAGTGTTCATGTATAATACTGGACAAATGTTCTTGTGTGTCCTGAATTACCAAAGTCACACGCTCATCTTTGTGTGTCCTGGAAGCATTTAGAATTTGACAATGGGACAAGAGTTTAATAGTGATTGAAAGTTTATAGTTATAGATAATCTTTTCTTTTTACCATTTGGTGGAAGTTTCTTTGTTTCATGACGTTTGTACATAGTAAGACCTCAAACATATCATTGATTATTCTGATTCAATCAAATGAACCTATGCATTGCTGGAGCTTTGCTTGATTGTCTCTTGCTATAATCATTACGCATAGTGCGCCTTGTCTTTATGTACCCCCAACTGCCCCATCAAACGGACACGTTGAGGTTGAGCCATATTGATTATTTATTTATTTGTTTCCTTATAACTAACAATAGGAAATATAATTCACGGCTATTGCCTACAAATGAGAGAGCAAAAAAAAAAAAGAAACTAAATAACATATTTTTAAAACTAAATTGAGTAATTATAGAGTTCTAAATTATTTAAAGTAAATAGCTATTTACATGGTAAATAAAATATTTATACAATAAGGTCTCGTTTATTTCACCGATTTGAGTTTTCAGTTCTAGGTTTCTACAGTAAAAAGCTCTCAGAAAATGTCACATCTAAATTTTTTTGTTACAGTAAAATGTTTTCAGAAAATGTCACATCTCAGCTTGAATTAAAAACTCGAATCCGCGAAGCGAACGAGGCCTAAATGATTCATTTATGATTGATTAAAAAAAACTTATATGGTAAAAAATTTTAAAAAATCTTTGATTTAAGTGATAAATTTTTTTATCAGTTTTTGAAAGAAAAATTAAGTGAAAAATGTTTTTAGTGATCGCAAATGAACCATTTACGCGGTAAAGTGATTCACTTACCACGTAAACTGTTATTTATTTTAAATAGTTTTAAAATATAATATTTACTTCATTTAGTTTTATAAGTCTGCTATTTATTACATTCTTTCAAAAAAAAAATGATAATAACAAAAAAAAAAAAGTCAAAAGAAACTAAAAATGAGAAATCCGAAATATTTATCTTATAGATTCATTTCTTTTTGAAAAAATCTTTTTAAAGTCAAATTAAGTCGCACAATTTTACTCTTTTAAAAGTTGAGGACATAAATAAAGGAGGGGAATGTAGATTCACGTCCTTCCTAAACTATAACCACATTACTCCTTTTTTTTTTTTTTTTTTGTGTTCTCATTTCTATATTCACCCATCTTAACAGTGGTATATCCTCGATGGGAGTTTAGATAATATCGAATTGAAAAAATGGTATACTCCTGTTTACTTATCTTAGAATTGATGTTTTTTCTAAAGGAAATTTAGATATATATTATATTCTTACTAATTGCAATATAATATATTAGAATAGCAAAAAATAAAATTATTACAATAATTACTGTGTAATTATATATCATAAAATGTGACAATCATTATGATAATAACCACGTAATTAATAATACTAATTACGATTCTTTCAAAACATTCTAAAAAATTGCTATCTTTCGATTCCAACTTTCTCCATAATGGACCCCTAATTTTATGCATGTTCAAATGCCTACTCTAAAAGTAGTACTACTCTAATTCACCAATTAGTCCACTGGATCCGGCCCATTAAACAACTATATAGGTTTTTGAACAAGGCCCATACCAGGATGCAATCAACAAATCCAAGCCCACTTTCCAAACTTTAAGGGTGCGTTTGGTCACAGTAGAGAAATGATAATAGTAATGAGAATGGCAATGTAGATGATAAGGCAATAAAAATAAAAAAAATGTTAATTTATTTATTTGATTGTAATTTAGAAATATTATAAAATGAAATATGGATATTTTCGTGTTGACAAAATTATCTTTATGTTACATATAACACTAATATTTCATAAATTAATATAATATATAAAATGTAGTATAATATAATAAAATTATGATCATATAATATATTATATTTATATTATATATATTATATTGTAATATTATTATATATTATATTATAATATATAATTACGTTACAATATGTTACAATATATTATATATTATTATAGTACATCAATATATTATTATAAAATATATAAATGTATTATAATTTTATTATATTATCTCATAAGATTTTTATTATATATTATATTATACTACATATAACTACTATTTGTAATTATATTACAATATTTAAGGGTACTTATAGAAAAAAAAAAGTTTAAAATGACTATTCCTCTCGTATGAATAGATTGCCATTTTTTTAAATGATCATTTATTTTTTATAAATTTAACTAAATATCATAGTTAGATTATATTTCATTTTATTGATTTTTTTTTCTACTCAACCAAACGCACTTTTAAAAGTTTTTAAAACCCGCGCCAAATTGGCGCGTATTTTCCCCGCCGCTTTAAAAACGACAACAAAAAAAAACACGTTCGCCTTCCGCGTCGGTGAAGAAGAACGATGAACTCAGCCATGGCGGTCGATCAGCCACAAGAAGACGATCCATTTCTCAGATTCATCGACTACGCGAGGTCTATGCTTTCTCCGGAAGACGAAAACGATGACGACGAAGACTTCGATCTGAACGGAAGAATCGAAGCGGATATCAAGCGGCCGAGCTGGAACTGGATCGCCTCTCGGATCCTCAAGACTTGCACCGCTTACTCAAGCGGCGTCACTGCAGCGATTCTGCTCTCCGACCTCTCTCAGGTACCGATTCTGTGTTCGATTTCATTTCCGCAATGTGTTTGCCACTGTTTGGTTGCCGAGAAAATCCGCGGTTAGAGAAAAGAAACCAATGATGAAATTATGTTAGCGAATTAGTCAAGTGATAGGTCTTATTATTCTAATCGAGCGTATTTATCATTTTACTCTCAACTGTTTGGTTGCCAAAAAAAAAAAAAGGAACTTCTTTTAAAGAAAAGAAATCTAATGCTCCAACCTCGAATTTTTGGTTATGGAAGAACCAATAAAATTACTTAGCTAGTTTGTCAGAGAATGGGTTAATAGTTTTTAATCTTCGGCATCATGTTTATCAATTTTTTTAATTTATTCACAATTGTTTGATTCCAGAGGGAAAAAAAAAAGCGTTTAGAAGACAAATTTTAATTCTAACCTCTAACCTTCGGTTATTTTGGAAATTATAAGATCAACTCCTCCAAGTAGTTTGAGAATAGGTTAAATAGTATCAATTTCTGGAGAAATTTATCAATATCAGAAGCTAAAGGTAGCTGTGCTACAATATCAGGCGTGGAATGAGCAACACAGGGATGGGGCTCCGAGGAAGAGGCCAGAATGTATCAACCAGTTGAAGAAGAAACGAGGGAGAGCGAAGCTTCCGAACACCGTGACTATCGACTCTATTTACGAGAAGAATTTCTTGTCCATGAACAGTGTCTTGGAAGCTGTTATTGTCGATGCTTTTGTCCTTCCAGGTAGTCTTTACAGTTCTAAAAATGTGTGGGTTTCCCAGTACTTAACTGATCAACATTTTGTTTCATCAGGTTTACTATGCAGACTTATTAACTCTCTAGTCCTGTTCAAAACTTTTCTTCTTAAATCATAGAATCATGGTTATTCTTTTTCTCGTGTTGAAATCTGTAATCTCTTTAAGCGTTTGATTATGGCTTGTTCTTTAGTGGTTGCTAAGTGTGTGTGTGCTTTTTTTTTTTTTTTTTCAGGTACTAACATATACATGCTTACACTGGGTGATTTTTGGAGCTCCAATACCATTGATCTCTACCTCCCTCGCAGGTAGACAACTGTATACCTAATTGTGTATAAATCTTAATCAAGATGAGTATCTAAATTAGGAGAGGAAGGATTTTGCTTTTCATACATATGCGGTATTTGTAGTGTTAAAACACAATTGTATACCATTCGCATCTCTCCTGTCTTATTAACTGTTTTTTTTTTTCTTTTTCTTTTTAAATGGGTGGATATTTATACTTGTAAGTTGTTCATCTTTTGAGAGTTTCTTGTTCAGCTAACAACATGAGATTTTGTCTGTGTAGATACTATGAGTTGGTGGATCCTCGAAATGGGATTTTGAAGAAAGGTAGGGAGATTCTCCTCACTGGATGCCATCTACGCACTGCCGCTGAAGGTTCTGGTCATCCGTGCCTGCTGCCAACAGAATATCTTGTGATTTTATTGGATGAGGTAATTTTCAGGTTTTGCCTTTTATTTTTTTGTATTTACTTTCGGTTAAATATCAGATACAAATGGCATAGTAAAATTCTTCTGGCGTTGGGCTGTGTGGAATTGTTTTGAAGATTGTCTGAGCATTATTGTTGTTACATGTTTAAATAGGATGAGGATGATGATGTGATGCTTATTGGAGCTCAATTTTGCTCCGATTCATTCTCTTCCATTTCGCTTGATGCGGTCAATCAAGGAGTTTCTTATTCATTGTATGCTAGGTAAGGCAAACTAGGTTCAGTGCAATTGTCCATTTGTCATAATGTGGAAACTTGTGGTGCAAATGGTTTCAGTTTCATAATCTTTTGATGGTATTGCTAAACCATGTTGTTCCTGAAATGAAAGAATCTGTGACTTAAATCTGCTTCCTTGATCATCATTAAATGTTCTAGTTGAAGGATGTGACGATCAACCATTTCAATAAACGTAAAACCTTTAAACGGACATCCCTGATTCAAAATGTTTATAACGAAGGATATATTTGTCTATAAATGGACACACCTGAATCTTTTATCGGCAACAAAGTGGATTGGTCATGTTCTTTATTGCCACGTTTGCTTTGCTTCTTATTTTCAGGATTGAGTTTATTGGATCGTCTGAAATTGATGGGAAGTTCGGTAGTTTACAGAAGAAGCAAATCACCCTTGTTGACGAAGATGGTGTCAAACTAAAGTTTCTGCTATGGGGAGAGCAGATTCAACTCGCCAATCTCTTCAGGTGAATTCTTGAGCTGTACTTTTATTACCACTTAATTTCTTTCTTTCTTTCTTTCCACTTGTGTTCAAAATGTAGAATTTTTTCAGCATTGGAAGTATGCTTGGACTGGATAGGCCATACATTGCAAGTTCTCTAGAGAGTGGCCTTGAAGAAAGTGACAAAATTTGTCTTGAATATGGAAGTGCAACGCAGTTATATTTGGCGCCTTTCATTCAACATGAGGAACAGGTGAGTCAGTAGATCATTTCGTAATACTAGCCAATCATTTGAGATATAAAGTTAGTTTTTCTGTTACTCAGGTACGTCTAACATTGACGCAAAACTGGGGCCAAGGATCAGGCCTCTTGAGTACGTTAGATCTCACTCCAGGTCCAAGAGTTTCTCAAGTTTCCTTGCCACGTGATTCACAAGGGTCTGTTGACTTCAGAAGTTATCCTTTTCAAGTGCGTTTATTCTTCTATTCTACATTCTTATACTGATACACAGAGAATCAGTATATATGGCTGCTATTTTTTAGGAGCTATAAGTGTATTTTGAAAGGGAATGCATCATGCATTATTAATGTCTTAAATATGAAATTCAGAGGATAAGAACAGGTGGTACATCCTATAGGATTGCAGGTCGCTTGTGCAATTATTCCAAACTTTTATATCTTCTATATTTTTTACAAGAAGTTATCCGAATTTGACATTGTCTTTCTCTATCCTGGTGATGCTTCTCTTTTATTTAGATCTGTCTTATCACCTGTTTCAAGGTTGATTAACATCTCTTACATCTCAAGTTTTGCAGACATATGTTACTGATCTTCATGACAAGATGACTGGCATCAGCCTGTATGGCGTCGTTACCAATATTAAGAAAGAAAGGAGAAACACACAAGCTACTATTTTTTTGTTAAGACTTCAAGATAGTACTGGAGCAATTTGGACAAAGCTACATTTTGCAAACTCTTGGTATTGAGGATAAATTAATTACTAACTTATGCTCCCGGCTCTCAAGATGAGAAAATGTGTGTTTTTATTTATGTAGTTTTATTTTTGAAATTTTACTCAGGTCATTGAGAAGAATAAGCCTTGGTCACACAGTGTACATATCTGGCCTTGCATGCTCTATGACGAGACAGAATAGGTGAGGTCAAAGAACAAATTTCATTTTCACATATATGCATTATAGATGCCTGAGTTGGCTAAAACTTGCTCCATCTTACTTTATTTCCAGTTATCATTTAGACATTGCAGAATTTTTCATGAATCTCTATCTTTGATAGCTTGCTTTAGCATTAAAAACTGCTTATAATGTCGTTGATGATTCTTTTACTCTGCAGCCTTGAAGCGTTATGGCTTGAGAGTGATACCGGAGCTTCGTTTATCAATCTCAGCTGCTTGCCAGCATTGCTAAACTCACCTTGTCTTCACAAGTTGTCAAAAATATCCAATCTATCTACCCAGACCAGCAGTACACAAGTAATGGTTTTCTCTTTGAAATTTTGTTTTCGCTAGTAAATCATTATTAATACTTATTTTATTATTATGCTTGCCGATCTATAGAATACACCAACAAAGTGAATATTTCATAGTATTGATTCTTTATGAGAATAGCAAGGCTATTGGACATTAGTAGTGCTTCGCACCCCAGTTCACATAGGGCGGGTCTTCGCACGAACCCATTTTATGTGAGTTGTGGTGCCAGTGCACTAGTAATGCCATTTACATGTTTCAAATAAGAACCGCCTAGTAGCTCGTGTATTCTTGGATCTTGTCACTTTATTATGCTCCGTTTCCACATGTGGACAGATAGCTAGCATTTGGCTGGACATGGCACATTGTCATGGTACTACTAGGCTTACACATGTCGTTTGTGGTCATTTGGTCAACCAAACACCTAGCGGGGTTATGGAATGTAGCTTCTGTCTTCACAACTGTGACACTGAAGTTGTCCGAAGTTTGCATCTCAAAATCACCCTTGCAGATGAGAGTGGGAAAATTTTCGCGTGGTCTGCCGGTCAAACCGCCATCGAGTTGCTCCAAATATCTCCCGATGAATTCCATGAACTGCCTGAGGTAATCTGACACCAGAAAACTAACTCTTAATAGTTTTCATGTTTTGTTAATCACGTTATTAATTTAGTTCTTATTGGTACTTCAGGAGGAACAAATAATGTTTTTTTCTTCACTACACAAGGAGAGATTCATTGTTGCTTTGGTTAACTGCAACATGGAGGTGTACGGACAAAGTGATGGCTTTGTCCATGAAAATGATTCAGTTTCATGGGAAATTACTCGTGCACTAAAGTGCGAGTAAAACTTCAAGCTTTTTTTCATTTCGGATCTTTTCTGGGTGCAAGTTATGCTTTCTTATTTAAACTGCAGCATACACACGTATATATTTAAATTATGTTGTAATGCTTACTAAATTTGCAGCTGCAGAAATTGAAATGCCAAAGAAAGAAAAAAAAAGAGGTAAAACAAATTTTTGATTATTGATGGGCGATGGCGTTGACACTTAATCGAATTAAACTCAGATCGCGACTTTGCAATTTCTTCGAAACATTGTCGACATGCCGTTTTTATGATATAAGAGAATGAAAGAAAAACGACATTGATTTTAAAAAGGGCAGCAACTCAATGAGCGACATTAACTTTAAAAACAAAGTGAAGCAAGATAAGACTGGAAATGCCAACCTGATGAACGGCAATTACCCGATAAAGACTGATACATAAAACGACAAGGAGTTAAAAACAACCTGATAAACGACAATTACTTGAAATTTAAAAACGACATTACCGTCAAACCGAAGAGCCCCATGAGCAACAAAAAAGGGTAAACGTAAACATTAAAAATGAAAGTGTGTTGAAAACGACAAAAAAAAAAATGAAAGATTTTGTGAAACCATGTCTACTTGAAAGGCGACATAAATGAGAGAACAACAAAATAAAGTGACGAAGGAAACATGAAAGCAATCATATACTTAAAACAAGGATTCGAAAACGATGAAATCTTAGAAAGACAACTAAAAATATAAAACCGACAAGAACTTGAAAACAACAACAATACTATAAACGACAAATACCCAAAAAACTACAATGACATGCATAAACGACATCACCCTGATAAACAACAAGAACCTAAAATACGAAAGCGAACATCGACTTGAAAGCAACATGAAAACACCAACCAAATGTAGAATAGTAAGTTGGCAACTTGAAAAACAACATGCGGATAAAGAACAACGACCAAATAACGATAAAATAGGAAAAAAGCGACAATGAACAAAAAAACAACAAGTTTAAAAACGACACAAAACTTGAAAAACGACAACAAAATAGAAAAAGCACAATAACAGAATAACCTAATAAGGACAGAATAAAAAAAGAAAAAAAAAAGACAATGAACTAAAAAATGACAGGAAGTTTATTTACGACCAAAGAAAAAAACACAATACTCCAATAAGGAGAAAAAAAAAAAACGACAGTGAACTACAAAACTACAGAAAGTTTAGAAACGACAGACAGCTTGAAAAACGACAAAACAAACAGCATGCTTTAAATTCGAACGAGGACGTTCGTTTTACGACATGTGTTGTAACTTGTTAGTTGCTACTTGTACGGGTTTTTTGGTTCTGTTTTCTTTTCTCATTGTCGTTAGAAAAAAAAAGAAGGGAGCAGGAAAAAAAAAACATTAATTTAACACCCAAAAAAGGAAAAAACTTCCAATGTGTCGTTGGTCTGGGTTTAGGGTTTTGGGTTAGTCATAAAAACCCAAAATATCATCTTATCAGCAATGGAGCTTCTCCATTGAAAATCAATGGAAGACAATGGGGACGATTTCGGAGATCTCTACGCCGACGTCGAAGCTCAGGCGAGCTCGGCCATCAATGGCGGACGAGACTTCACTCGACTTTACACGGAACCCGGCGAACAAGACGACGATGATAGTGACAGTAGTAGGCCGAACCCAAACCCTAGCTCCGAGGATGGTTTCGACGACTTGTCTGAGGAATCAAACAAGAATGACAATGGAAGTGACAGTGAGGATGATCTCAACATTGTTTTGAATGACGAGGATTGTGAGGGAAAGACCTTCCCGGTTATGGATCAAGTAGTGGATGTGAAGAATGAGGAGGATCAAGATGGTTTTGCGGCCATTAAGGAGGAAGAGAAGGTTAAGGTAATCTGTTTTTAGAATGAAAACTATTCTGCGATTCTTTAATGGTTTTTACGTCAAGCTTGGTGAAGAAAATAGTGACGCCTAGTGAAGCTTAATTTGTTCATATTAAGATAATAAGTGTGGATTTGCTTTATGGATTAGCTAGTTAATTAAAATTTATGAGCTTGATTTGCAAAAGTATTTTTTTTCCAAAAGAAAAGTACTTTTTTTTTATATGTAAATTGGAAGATTTGAGCATTTCAATCTCATTATTAATAACCTTTTTTCTGTCATTTTTTGTTCCTAGTGGCACTCGTTTTTCCATCGATTTTTTTTTCTTTTGTGTGTGTGTGTGTGGGGTCGGGGGTGGTTCTCGGCACTGCTTGTATCTGAATTTTTAGTCCATGAATTTATTTATTTTTCTGCGTTTTTTTTTATCACAAATCATAAAGTTTATGATGGGTTTTTGAAAGTTTAATCTTCATAATTATGTTCCCATCAGGTGATATCTTGAAATTTACAAAAATTATTTCATAAGAACATTTTGCATCTTATTAGGCCATTAAGATAGGTTTGATATTTAAAAAAGTTCTCTGAGTTCATGTTTTCCTAATTTTTCATGTTCTCTTTTTGTTCATTTGTGATTTGGTTGCTGTTGTTTAGTACATGAGAACTCAGGGATCGTCAATTCCAAGTGATGTGAAGGCCAATGCATCCGCTTTGGTGTTGGCAAGATGTGACTGGAATTCTAATGTTCGCGGTCGACGAAAGGGACCAAGCTCAGGTCACAATGATCTTGTTGGCGCTACACGAAACTCAGTTATGACTCAAAGTAGATGTGGCTTCTCACTCCCTTGGTATAGGTTAGTAAATCAAATCTAATGTTGAATCTACGCAAGCCAATTTTAGGAGTAAAATGAAATGGAAAATGACAGCAGAAATGATCATGATATGATATTTCTTAATGCGTGTTTCTTACTTATTTTACGTCAACTTCCATGGAGGAAATGAAATGAGGATGAGTTTTGTTAATGCTCCTGATAATGTTGTATGTTTATGAGTGGCTGATTAAAAAGCATGTCTTTTTCTGTTGTCTAGGTCTATACTTGATGTAAATATTGATACATTAGAGGAGAAGCCATGGAGGTATCCTGGAGTCGATGTTACAGATTTCTTCAATTTTGGTTTCAATGAGGACAGCTGGAGACAATACTGTAACTCGCTGGTAAAGAAATTCAACGTGGTGCTTTGTCCTTTTTAAGAATCCAGAATCCCATTGATCGTTTCAGTCTTATTGATTTTCCAATTAGACTTTTGATCTCAATTATGTGATATTCTGGCTACCTAAAAGGGTTCTTCTGGCAATGTCTTAAGTGGTGAACTTTTTGGTATATTTGCAGATTGGAATTGTGATGCATTTTTCAATTTGGATTGTTTGTGGTAACACATCTTATATATTGCACTGCATTGCAGGAACAACTTCGGTGGCCATCATTCGGGGAATCAGGGAACTCCAATCACATGTCTCGAAACCAGGTTAGTCATTTGGATTTTATTGGATGTTCAATTATATGATCAGTTGGTTGACCTGAATCATACCTGTGTTAATGAAAATAGGATTATGAAGCTGGATCGAACTATGATGAAGGATTTGAGGAAACTATGGTCGACAATGTTGATCAGGTTAGATCAGGAAATTTAGCTTCTTCCTCATCGAGACATTTTGATTACTCCTGGACTCCCCTGCACTGGATCTTTAGTTATGCTGCATATCTTCTCAATGGTCGTATTCGAATGCTTGTTTGGAAGTTTATGTTGGTTTTTCTTAACAGCCAAAAGGAAGAGCAATTCAGGTTGAAGATGGCAGTGGTGAGCGGCAACCGTCGGTTGATGTTAGGCGTCCACGTGATCGGGATTCTGATGTTGTGATACAGGTGTGTTGCACTTGTCTTCACTTTTTAACTTTTATGAATACCCTTGTTGAGCTACTTCACCACTGAGTGCTATCGTTGGGACAGATCACTTTGGAGGACCCCATTGAGGACACCTCTGATACTGGTGAAAAACTTAACCATAGTGGTAGCACTGAATGCGGAACATGTAATAATGAGGAATTCGAAGCTACTGACTGTAATGGTGGCAGAGGAGATGAATTTTCTATAGAATCTCTGGAGGAAAATGACAAAAACAAAGACAGGTTTGTCTCCTCTTTCCACATTTATTTGTAATTGTATATTTACTTGGAGAGACTGCTTTCTCTCTGATGCTTGTGATTGATTCTAGTTAGGAATGACCAACAGATATGCTTCTTTCACGAAGTGGCATCTGAATATTGAATGCAAAGACTTTTTATTCTTTTGAGAAGTCACTGAACAACAATTTTTCTTGATAATCATTAGGTGTTATGCAAAGATAACTTCCTCTAATCCAATGACAAATGATCCTGATGATACTGAAACGAACCAGAGTCCAGATGTAAATGGGAATCGTCATGAGGAGACACGTGCTTTTTCTTCGGATGGAACTACTGAATTACCTGAAAGTGTATATAAAACAAGAGAAAGTGTCATCTTGAGAGCATCTTGTGCAGATAAATACATGGTTGAGACAGAATTATCACTTGAAGAAGAGGGTCAACTTAGCCTGACTTCATCTTGTTTTGCAAGTGATTCTGAAGCATCAAGTGATGATAGTCATCTTGACTGTGGAAAAGTTACTAGTCCTATAAGAAGATCATTAGTGAAGTCAGGTGAGGAGTTGTGGGGTTCTGACTCACCTCGCCCTAAGAACCTACAGGGAAATTATGCCAAAATAAAACCAGTTGATTTCAGAGATTATTCCAACTGTAAAAGCCCCATTCAAGGTGAAAGGAAGCATCAGACTAGGAGTGTTGATAGTCATGCTCAACGTAAAATAAACATATACGACAATGACACATCTCCTGGGTTAGATGCAGAAGACATGTATGATAAGGGTCGCTTATCTGCTGATTATGGCAGATGGAAGGAAAATATGGAAGACGTTAATTTCACAGATAGAGAAGATCTCACATACTATGAAAAATCAAAACAGTCCCACTATTATGGTAGTAGAGAGTTTGCTGACCACACTCATACAGCTCGGAAAAACTATAGGAACAGGGGTCAAGATTTCCATGAAGGGAGAGATCCTTATGTAGTCCAAAATTGTGAAAAAAGAGGGTATCTTTGTGAAGATGATAGAAGAGAAGGGTATCGATATCGACGTGGACCTTTGTCTGGGGACATGCCTCCAGTTTACAAGGAGACTGAGCAGTTGGTTTCTAGGTATTCTGCCACTAGTGAACAAATAGATTTTCGATCCAAAAGAAAGAACAACGGACTTCAGTTTATGAAACCAAACAACCATAGTAGTCAGTTTCCGGATTATGAACTCGATGGCACTGACATCATGCGAGAGAAAAATGCAAGGTCTGTTTCATTGGTTAACTGGAAAAGAGATACTCTTGATGAAAGTTATGAAAGACAGGTCCCCAAACGTCGGAAAGAAGTGAAAAACTCTGCCTGGAAGAGATGCAATGATGCTTTCTCATTAGAATTGGAAGGTGCATGGTCTAGGGAATTAGAAGATGAGTATTGGAGGAATTCTGATGTCCATAACTTGTCCCATCACTCCTACAGAGAATCAGATGAAGAAAGATGGACTGAACTGGAAGGTTCTTGGTCTAGGAAAATAGAAGATGAATATTGGGGGAACACTGATGTCCATCACTTGTCCCGTCAGTCTCACAGAGAATCTGATGGAGGAAGGTGGACTGATCCCATGCCACCAAGAAATGGTGCATCTCTTTCAAGATTTGTTGAAAGATACAGGAGACAGTTACCTGCTGGGGAAGGCAAAGAGAGTGGCTGGCTTGAAAATTATAATGATTTACACAAATTTGAAGACGGTTTTATTTACCGTGATAATAAGGTTCATTTCAGGAGGGAGAGAAGATGTGGCTGGAAATCTGAAGTCCTTCCCTGGATGGAGGAGGAACCTACCATTAGGCATCGATATGAAAAACTAAATTTCAAAAAGTCATCCTTTTTACGTAAGAACTATGGGAGACATAGAAGAAACCAATCCACACATGGATCTCTTCATGATGCCATGCATATCGATGACATGCAAGCGGATAAACATGGCTATAGAATGATAAAAGACGGAAGTTATAGCCGGGGTATCTATAGAAGTCAAAAGATGTTTAGAGCTAAAAATGAGCAGGCATTCCTGAGGTGCAGGGATTCATTAAACTTGTTTGTTGGGGGAGGAAAGGTAAAGTTGGGGAAATCAAGGTTAAAACCTTGTATTATTGTACTTTTATGGATAAGTTCCCCCTATAAGTGGAGCTGCTTTTTATATGTTTTTGATACTAGCAGAAGTTTCTTTGAGTTCCAAGCCTTATTGGTATGAGAAAAAGATTAAAGTTATTGTCATTCTTTCTAGCGTTATATATTTCTAATTGAAATATTTTACCACACTTTACTTTTGCACCTTCTAGTTCGTTTATAGAATGATAAAATACTCCTATTTATTCCTTTACACAGATCATACTGTTTTTTCTTATTCCATGCCCTGTTAATTTGAATTTTGTTCCCTTCTATATAAACTGCGGCAACTGTATCTGGATCCTTCTCTGTTTATTAGATTTTAAGCTTAATATACAGCATGTTATTTAGTTCATATTCTCTCATGGCACGTTCACAGGGAAGGGGAATAAGAGAAAAATTTTAGGTTTCTACTTTGTTATTTGATTGACTATATTATTTTAGCTTTTGTTTCTTTAGATTCGCTTTGTCCCTGTTTTAGAGCAGTTTAGGACCCGTTTGTTTTATATACTCAAACTCAAATCATTGATTTTGCTACAGTATTTCCCTCACAAAAAATGTGAATTTCAAACGTGAGAATAAAGAACCATGGTTTGAGTATACCTTCCAAATGGGCCCTTAGATCTTTGCGTAGTTATGTCTCATGGGAAGTGATGAACTCTAAATATTGCTATAAGCATATAGAACTTGTGAAGAACTATTATTTCATTCCTATTGGAGCTTTCTTCTTTTAGAATAACATATACATATAATTTCCTATAGATGATCTTTAACTTATATATGATAAATTTCTAGAAGTTCTTGACTATGCCCAAAATGATTATAGATAATGACTTCGTTTCACATACTTGAATTGGTTTCAATTATCTCTGAGGTTTAGAATAATATTGCATTCTTCTATGTGTAAGGCGTAAGGTGGGGGTTATATCACTTGTTTAATGTAGCTGAAGCTAATTGTGGCACAGTGGTCCAGGTATAACATTTGGAAGGAGATAGTGAATCCTTTTTTTTTTTCTTTTTTTAAATTTCTTGCTATAGACAATACTATGTGCTTGAACTTGCAGGAACATGCCTTGAAATGTTTGAGAATGAAAAAGTCCTTTAAAACAAACTTAACGACCTTGTTCTAACTCTCTTGCCTCATTGTTCTGCAGTTATCTAGAAGACGACCCACAGACCGAAATTTAAGTTGCCATAGCAGGCTTGAAGGCACGTATATAGAAGATGTTAATGAGTCTTCTCAGTATGAGGCAGTCCAATCCAACCTTCCGAAAGTTGGACTCAACCTTAGCAACGAGGACTTCCATGATCAGTTCCCGCTTGCAGCGCGGAATGAGGATTTCGACATTGAGGAGGGCCAGATAGTAACTGAAGAATTTTATAGGGATCCCTTGGAAAGACCGCATGATTCTGTATCTGCAGCACGCACGGAAAGTGTGAAAAAGAGAATGCTGGAGTATGATCTTGCTTCTCATGGGAGCAAGACTGGAGGGCAGTGCGATGATCAATGGATTCTTGAGACATTGGCAAAGATGGAGAGACGTAGAGAGCGGTTTAAGGAGCCGATCGCCCTTAAAAGGGAACAGGACAAATGTGCAAAGCCCGACATTGTTCCTGCTCCTACCATTGTTGAGACAGCTGAAACTAAGCAACATAGGCCAGCGAGAAAGAGGCAGTGGTGCACAGGGCAGTCTTAAATCTCACTTCAATTTCATATCTTTTATCATCGTCATTTTTACTCCCAGCTTTTTTTGGATTAGAAGAGGTCCCTAGAGATCAAAGTTCAAACTTTTAGCAGCTCAGGCATATACAGATGAGAGTGGATTTTTTTTTTCTTATTTTGGTTACAAAACATTCATGCAAATTCATAGTTGAGGATATTAATAAACCGATAAAGTTTGGGATTATCATATTTGGCAGTGATTTCTTTTAGTTGCTAAACTCATGGTGCACTGAATTTATATGTTATATGGGCAGGTGAAGCATAATGTTCAAGATATCTACTTATGCAATTCTTTGTTGGAAATTTCATCCTTGTATTGTTCTATGGCAGAAAAATCTAGCTCTGCACGTATACTTATATCTAATCTGAAAAAGGTTCAATTTGAAAGGCGTCATTGAGAGTGTTTGGGAGAGCTTGTGCTTTTACTTTTAAGCAATAAAAAAAGAGAAGTATAAATAAGAGCTTTTTAATTACTATTTGGATAGTGCATGAAAACGTATTTTTTAATTTGTTGTTCACAAACAAAAGGAGCTCATTATATCTCATTATCTCTTGCGAGCAGAACTCCACAACATTTTTCTTTTTTTTTTTTTTTTTGAGAATCTCCACAACATTTTTGGCTTTTACATACTTATTTTTTTTTTCCTTTAAGGTACACATATATAATAACGAGTTTTTTCTTATGAGGATTGGGGAAGCTTATCACTTTTAAGTTTCAACGTTACATAGACGTGAGATGTTAATGCATTAGTTGAACAAAGATGGATATGTTATTTTTACTCCTTAAAGTTTAATGACATGTTTATCTATGCATAATCAGAGTAGGTAAGATTCAGAATGAGTAGGATTCGGAGTGAATAATTAGAATCAGAATAAATTATTTATTTAGTGATAGGACTTGGAATCGAAGTCACTTCAAATCTCATTCATGTGTTAACCTATACCTAGAATCCGAATGAAATATTGTAAAAATAATAATATACCCTTTAAGTCAATTTTATATTTTTAATTTAAACAATAAATTGTGTACTTATTATATTAAAATTAATCATAATTAAATTATTTAATTTAATAATAGGGTAATAAAATAATAAATATAAATTTTACAATTATTTAAAAAATAAGAATAAATTGTTAAAATTTAAATAACATAACTAAAAATAAAAAATAGTGTTAAAAATTTAAATATATTGTTAATTTATTAAACAAATAAAGTACATATTTATTATATTAAAGTTAACAATAATTAGGCTAATATTTTGATATTAGACAAATAAAATAATAAATATATGTTGTAATTATTATTTTTTGAATTTTATTTTTAATTTTATATTTATAAGTAAAACAGGAGTATGATAATAATTTAATATTAATATTAGGAATGAGAGTCTCAATCTCAAAAGATGTATGAGAGTGCCAATCTCATTTCTCAATTTCAAATTTGAGTGGGGGCCAATTAATCTCACTCTCATTTCAAGATAAAAAAGAGCAAGTAAACACGGGATTGACTTCTATTCCCTACTCCCATTTCTCAATCCTAGTAAGAGCAACTCCAACCATGCTAGCAATTTCAGGCCCGTTTAGTTCATTAATTCGAGTTGAGATGTGATTTATATGAGAACTTTTTACTGTAGTAAAAAAGTTAGATGTGACTGTTTCTGAGAGTTTTTTACAGTAGCAAAACTCGAATCGGTAAAATAAACAGGACCTTCATGTTTTTAGCTAAAATAGCTAATGATTTATATTTTTTTTAATTTTTTTTCATTCCAACCATTAGTTAAATGATAGATATCTTGGCTAAAACATTTTTCACTAGTTAAATATAACTAGTAAGAAGTGGCTAACTATTTATTTTTTTATTTTTTTATTCTTTACTTTGACATAAAATAAAATTAAAAAAAAGTTATTTATATTTTAAACTAAAAAAATATTAAAATAATTTATATTTAATTAAAATAAAAAAATATAATTAGAATGACTCGTCAAAAAATTTATTAACTAAAATAATCTATTAACTATTTTAATTAGAATTTAACTAAAATACGGAGAGTAAAAAATGCTCTAAATAAACATGCCATAAGAGAAATAGTAATGTTACTGAGAAAATCACTTGATCTGTCTATTTATTTGTTTTTTTTTATATTTTTTTACTAATGGAGATTAATCTCGTCCTGATAAATTATCTGATCTTTATGAAACTGACCAATGAGATACTTCCACGTGTACATGAAATCTGAGGTCCTAATTGAAGCGCTGAGCTATAGCAAAAAAGATATCCACGTGGCCAATCGTACACCTGTGTACTTTCCTGCTG